CGAGGGCGGGGATTTCTCCGCGCGTGAAATACACTATGTCTCTCTCTGTTTTTCTTAGTTTTCGCCAAGCTTGAATTTCATGATGTCGCCGTAGGTTTTGCTTAGGGTTTGGAACGAACGGAACGGGAGTGTTCCGAGGAGGCGGACGTGGCCGATCAATGGAAGTTTTTTTTTTCCACCGAGTATATAAAAATAGAGAGAGAAAGAGGAAGAAAAAAATGTTGGCATTTTTGTAGTAACGAATAGGAGTGAGTGGCTTTTGTAGAGAGATAATAATATTTATATATATGTATATATATATATATATATATATATATATATATATATATATATATATATATATATATATATATATATATATATATATATATATATATATATATATATATATATATATATATATATATATATAATATTTGTTCTTATAATTTTCTTACAAAGAAAAGTATTCAAGGAGTGTGCATAGACTAAACCTAACCATAGTTTGGGAATAATGGTAGGACTTGTACTCTTATTACAATATAAAAATTTGTAGATTTTTAACTACAATTTATAAATATATATCAGTTAAACCTCTATAAATTAATACTGTCTGGACTAAGGAAATTCTATTAATTTAGCGAATTATTAAATTATCGAGTTAATAATTTAACACGTTTTCATCGAATCGTGACCGAGAAAAACTATTATATAATCGAGGTTATTAATTTATTGAAGTTCAACTGTATATTTATTTGGATTAAATCATTTGATAAGAATTGTAATTTAGCTATAGACTTTTCACCTTCTCATATTCTACTTAGGAAAAAAAATGGTCAATCGATTGAACATAGTGTACTACAATTTAGACTATTTCGAAAAAGTGATGTGATAGAGAGAATGAAGAAAATTCTTACTTGGGGCAGAGTTGGAATAATAAAATTTCACGCATATCCCTCGAAAAATATTTGACTTTGGAATAAAAAAAATTAATTCTGCTTTCCCAAAATGAAATTTATGATTTTTCTTTTTTTTTTTTTTGGGTTGGGACCCGGAAGAATGCATAAAATTCTCGAAAATCGTGCATTTTGGCCCGATTTGTATTTATTTTTAAAATATTTAGATTTTTTTTTTAATGTTTTTTGGGCTCTACTACTAACCATTTAGAGTAGATGCATAAGAGCCTTCTAATTTTATTTGACCAATTCATTTATTAATCTTGTCATCTTTATTTATTTTTATGAAAAATATTAAAAAAAAACGTGTTGAACTTGAGACCAAAAACAATTTGATCATCAGTCAAGATGATGCAATAAAATTTGATGTCCCGAATTTCAACTCGGTAAATCAATGATCAAGAAGATAGTAAAAGTAACGCACGCCACGTGAAAAAAAAAAAACAAAAAAAAACCAAAAAAAAAAAAAAAGAAAGAAAAGAAGGTCACGATTTATTTTACTTTGCACGAAATCTCATTTTCCGTTAAAAGTTAACACAGTTAACTATAGATGGGGTTTTATGCAAGTTTTCTGTAACATAGGGGGATTTAATGCATATTTTTTATAATACAAGGAGATTTTATGCAAAAAATAATTTATTTGTTTAAATTTCATATTATTTTCTGAAATAAAGTTGAACACATTTATTCAATTACAATATCAAGAATAAAAATTTAATAGGTGTTGTGAATGTTAATAAAAAAATTCAATTTTTATATGATATAATTTATTAACGTATGAATTTTGATTTTTTAAATTATATAATTATTTTATTAGAACTATTATATATGTTTATAATTTATTCTTTGATTAATTATATGTGAAAAGAACATAAATAATTTGAGAATTCGTTCCAACTTCCATCTCGAGTAATATTTTCTTAGTTTTCATATTTTAAATTAATAGATATATTCGACTTAATTTGAGAAAATAATTTGAATTGAATAAATTAATTTGCATAGACCCCCCTTTTTTGCAAAATTAT